AAAATTAAACACTATCTAAAGATTTGCATCGAAGCGTTTTTTTTTTATAGTGATTTTAATCACTGTCAGATATCATTATACTTGATCAAACTAAGCCACGTCACCACTGTGCAGCAACCTCCCTATGCTGGATTTTTTTTTTTGAAATTAAAAAAAAATTCTAAACAAAAATGTAAAACCTTTAGATAGTTTATATTTACAACTACTCATGAAAAAAAAAATTACGTTTACACTCTTTAATTTTCCCTTTTTTTAATCTATATATTATTTTATTTATTTATAAGTGAGCGTGTTACTAGTAACATTTTTCTGGGATTAACTTAATTTTTAATTTTTAGCACATACCACATTATTGATTTCAAGTCTTCAAATATTTATATATTAATAATTACTAAACAATAAAACCAATATATGTTATTTAGGAAGAAGATAGAAGAACAATAGTTTTATATGTATACAGAGTGTCCCGCTTTGTGTATACATTAAATGTACTAATTTGACTATATAAACTTCATATTGTATAATTGAAACTTTATTATAGATAATTTTTTACATATATAGGTGTTGGGTTATGGGGGAACTTAGAATATCTTAACCCTTTCTTTCAAACAACTAAGTTATTTTTTTAATTGATTGAGTTAAAAACACTAAATATTTTATAATTTATTTTATAAAATGTCTTAAATTATTGATTTTGATAAATAAGTAATTAAACTCACTTCTGTTTTTGCTACGGGTGCACATGCTGGAGAAACAATGTGTAATGACAAAGCTATTTTATGTATCATTGCTTTTATGCTTCTAACTACAGAATTATTTTGTGTATAATTGTATTGATTGTTTGTTTTTTTAGTTGATATGTTTAACTATAGATTTGATTCTTAAAATACTTCAAACTAATTTTTTTTTTAACAAATTAATGGATTTTCTTATCTATTTTAATAGTTGTAGTTAGCTTATTAAATTAACATCAACTGCCTATTAAAAAATTATACATTTTATTCACACTATTAGTATTATTTACTCCAGTAGTATTTTCCTAAATGATAAGAGACTATTCAATATTTAATTATTTAAAAATATACTTATATTGGAAAAAAAGAACTGATCTTGATAATCTTATAAATAAATGAGCAAAAAAATAACGCATTATAAATAGTAATAAGTGTAACAGTTTTTAATTTGGCTTAAATGTTAATCTAAAAAAAAATATGTGGTTATAAAGTCACATAAATAAATGGAAATGTTCTATTTGAAGTTCATAAAATAAAAATTGATAGTTATGTTTACTTAAGTTATCCTTTATCTGTAAATATGTACATAATGTATGTATGTGTGTGTATATTCATATTTCAGGTTAGTGAAAATTTATATTTTGATCCAAAAGTAGGATATAAATTTAGGTCACCATCAGTTCGAGATTCGGGTGAATACAATTGTGAGGCAGTTAGAAATAATATCAGTGAATCGCGAACCTTAACTGTATCCATTAATCGTGAGTTGGTCTAGTTATATGTTTATTATTGGTTGCTTTTATATAAGTTAAAGAGTACAATATATTTGTAGTATTTCTTTATAACTTTGTATGTTAGTTAACTTATGTTATATTTTTCTTGTAAATTAATGTTTGTGATATCTCATTAAAAAAAAAATAATTTTTTCAAATATTAAATGATTAAATGATTATTAGTTATCTTAGACATCTTGTAGTAAATAATTACTATTCAATATTTTTTTTTTAATTTTAATTAACCAACTAAAATGTGAAACTAAAAATAGCCATACAAATAATACTGCTAACATTTTCAAATTTTTGCAGCTTATTCATATTTCATTTCATTTTTATAATATTGTATATAATTAGCAAAAAATTTCATGTTTCGATACTATTTACTTACAGCCAAAGTTGATAAAGTGGTTATGCCAATAATAAATAGTAGTACTTCAAGTTCTGAACATTTAATTGTTGGTCAAGAACTTTATTTAAACTGTTCAGTTAGTATGGATATTGGTATATCATTCACACTACATTGGAGAGTTCCAGATTCTCAAAAGATTGAGGTAAATTTATTTTATTTTGTCAATAGAATTAATAATATTATATTTAAGATGTAAATATATATTTTTAAAGTCTATTTCAGTATAAATTATGTTAAATTTCATTATTTTTTTAAATTTGTGAGCCATTATTTTATAGTTAAATTTTTTGTTCCTAGAATGGTCATGTAGTTATTGGAAAGGAAAAATTCTTTAGTGGTGTTAAACAAGGAGTTACTAAAAGTTTTGGTAGTAGATCACTCTTTATTAAAAATGTTACAACTGAAGATGAAGGAAAATATACTTGTGAAGTTACTGTTCATTCTGGTAGCAAAAATAGTGCAGCATATACTCTAAAAGCCTATAGTTAGTTATGTTATACTTATTTCTATTGTACTTTTAAATATATTGTGTTGTATTTTTACCCCTATTTAAAATTGAATTTTTTATCTTCAGCTCCTGATGTAACTTATTTGGACTTAGTTGTTCAGGGAGGTGTTTTTCAAATTGTTCGACGGGCTGGTTTTCGTCGTGTTCAATGGATAGTTCAAGTTTCAGCTTATCCAAAACCGACTCTTATATGGTAAATAGTAACTCAAACATTTAAAATTTTTCTTTTTATCTCAATAGTTTCTTTGAAATAAATTCTAGACTAAGTGGGGTATTTAAAAGTATTATTAAAATTAATTGATTGAAAACTTAAAATAATAAATAGATTTAAAAAGGATGCTATTTGTATCTATATAAAAATTAAAAAATATCACTCAGTTGTAAGCTTAAGATCTTAAAAATTAAACCTAATTTAAATTAAAAAGTTTCTTAAGTTAATTTATGTATTATTTGTATATTTCATTAGGAGAGACCCAGAAGGCAAAGAAATTGGATTAAACCAAGACAAAATATATGTTGAAAATGATAAAATTACATCAAAATTAGTTATCAAAGATTTACAACTATCTGATTCAGGAATTTATGAGTTAACTGCTGATAATGATGCTCATAGAAAACATATTAATGTAACTCTTCTAGTTGAAGGTAATTAAAAAACAAATATAATATCTCATTATTATTATTCGACAAATTAGTAAAAAATAAATCTTTGCATTTAATGGTCACTTAAAAAATTATACTTTAGTAGTATATGGTATAAAAAAAAATCATTATTAATTAAAATATCTTAAAGTTAAATTTTTAGTAGAATTTTTTAATTAGTTTTAGAGTACATTTTTTTTTTCACTTTGTAGATAAACCAATTGTAGAAATAGTAAACAGTACAATTTTCTATGAAATTGACCAAGTTCATATTGTAGAATGTTTCATTGCTGGATATCCTTTACCTATAGTTGAATGGAGTTTTAAAGAGTGTTCCAACTACCCTAGTTGTGATGAATCATTTATTCCAATAACAGTAATTATTTCATTTATTTTATTGTACTTTAAGCATGTTGAATATTTTTAATATATCTATTTAATCTAACATTTCAATATTAAAATGTATTTTTTAGAGGCAAATGTACAGAGAAACATCAATGAAAGAAACTTTTCTTGTATCTCAAGTTAATATTACAGCCAAAAAAACGGGAATTTTAATGTGCAATGCTTCAAATGATTTTGGAAGTACTCAACATGATACTATATTCCTAGTGACTGGTATAATATTTGTTTCTTATTTCTTTTACTATATTTAATAATATTCACAATTAGATTTCAATTTTATATGACACGTGTAGGCGTTAATTAAAGGGTCTTAACCCCTCCAAAATTTAAAAAAAAAACTATATATTTATCTTTTTTCTCTTGCCTCTATGCTAATTACTTGATGTACCAAGTAAACTATGTAAATAATAGTTTAAATTGATATTTTAGTGAGGAAGAAGTTGGATATAATTAATAAACCCCTTCAAAATTTTTGTTGAAATTGTGTCTATGACACACGAAACTAATTTGATCCTTTGATTTTTTGGGTAAAATTTTAGATTTTTTAGAAGAGAAAACTCATTAAATACTGAATTTAGTTCATCAAATTTCTTTTTAACAAGAATATTCTTTATTTATTATTTATTATTTATATTTTAGATGTTACTAGAGGTTTATCAATTAAAGGGCCACCTGTTGTAGTTGAAGGTGACAATATTACAGTTGAATGTGGAGCTTCAAAGTATATGTATGCTCAAAATATTAGCTGGGCTTTTAGAAGCCCTAGTAACAATATAGAATTAATTAGTTCAAATAAAAGTGAGTTTGTCCATTTTTTGAATTAATCTAAATATGCCAGGTTTTTTAACCTAATAATTATTATTTAAAATTAAAATTATATTAAAAATATTAGTTTAAAACGAAAAATTCTTAAAAATATTTAACTCAAAAAGCCATAAAAAATTATTAAAAAATTTAAAAATGCACACTTTAATGTTAAACATTTGAAATGGTAATATTGTTCTCAATACATATATGCAATTTTTTAAGAATTTTTTGTGGCATTTAGAATTAAATTTTTTAGTTTTAAATTAATATTATTAATTTAATTTCAGCCATATGTGATCAATTTTTACTATACTAGTTATTTTTGTTTTATAAATTATATATAGTCTTCAGAGACACGTATATAATACAATATATACTATAATTCTAGGGGTGGCCATGGCCCACTCCAAAAGCCATTTTCTGGTCATCATACATGTCTTTATGATTTATATCACTTTATTAATCCTTAAACTTGCAGTGAAGTATTTAAAAAATTGACCATATGCTATATAAATTATCTCATCTATTAACAATATAGTCTAATTAACTTTTAACATTTTTTTAACATTTAGATATCAGTAAGACTTAGAGCTTAATACTGTGAATACATAATGGTTATTTAATATATTTTAAAGACCTTAATATACTGTTACTTTTCTAAAACTAATTATTTAATCAATTAAAATTATATCAGAATCCAGAAAACGTCAACTTAAAATTTAATAACTTGTCACCTAAGAATAAAAATAATTTAACTCAAAATAAATGTTTATAATAAACCACTTTTAAAAATAAAATTATGATACAATTGTATGGAACTTTAAATTTTTATTTAAGTTAACTCTAAAAAGGAAAATAAATTTTTCAATATATTTATAAAAAAAAATGGTCGAAATATTGTGTTGGCCTATTTGTTCTCAGGTTATGGTGGGTTTAAGAAGTTGTAAAGTTGTGCCCTTACAATTCTTTAAACAATATGCAGAATCATCACAATTTTTTACCTAAAAAGCATTTTATTTAGGCGGTGATTCTTCTTCCTAGTTTTAATCCTAACTACTTGCGGTGAATAATTTTAATAAACAATTTAAAAGGTGTTACATTTTGTTAAATCTGTTAGTAAAAATTGATGACTGTATTGAGTAACTACAGTGTAGTTTTAATAATTTTATTAACTTAAAAAAATATTTTAGCACAATTTATCACACAAAATGTCACCAAACATTCATATCGTTCATATTTGTCATTAAGACAAGTAAACAATATTTCTAATGGAGAGTTTTTATGTGTGATTTCTGAATTAGTAAACTTCAGTGTAGTTCAACTCTCATACCCTATAAAAGTAAACAGTAAGTTAATAAATTTGATTGAAATTTTTTTAATAAGAACTATTAAATAAAGATTTTTTTATAGTTGCTCAAGCACCAGTACTTTATGATTCTTCTAATTTAAATTCAAGTGATTGGAAAGTTAAAACTGGTAATCCAGTTCAATGGGGATGCTATGTTAGTGGAATGCCACAGCCAACAATTATGTGGTATAAAGTATGCACTTTAAATTATTTTAGTATAAAAATACTTAATAAATTATTAATATTTTATTATTATTTTTAGAATAACAGTCCTCTTCGTTTAAAAAAAAATGAAAGTAGGGTTCTTTTGTTAGATAAAAATCAAACGCTTCTTATACGCTTTACAGCACTTGAAGATGAAGGAGTATACAAGTGTAATGCTTCAAATAGATTAGGAAGTGTAATTTCAACTAACACTTTAACACTTATAGGTATTGTATAAGTTGTATTTTATAATATCACAATATTATAAAATATGTATTTACTTACAATATTATCATGAATATTTATTAACTTACAGACTCTGCCCTGTAAATTAATAAATAATTGTGTATACCACACTGTCTATATACTTCGTTAAATTATTTATATGTTCTAATCCTTTAAATTTAATTGCAACTGGGTTCCATAATTTTAGACAAAAACCTTATATTTTAAGCATAAAAATGAATAACCATTTAAACATTTTCTTAAAAAAAATTATGTGCATTGCATCTTTATAAGAAATTCTATTCTGTAAAAATTGTTTGTAACCAAATTTAAAAAGTAAATAAATAATAAAATAATTATAACAACAATATTTGGCTAATGAATGATACCTAGTTAACTATAATAAAACTAAATATAGTTATATATTATTAGCATATATGAAATGTTTTTATTTATTTATCTATAGATAAACCTGTTGAACATGAGCATTTTGGTTTTATCGTAGTTTGTGCAGCACTTGCCATACTTGTTGGAGTTTTTATGATATGTTTTGCCACGCATTTAAAAAAAGAAAGAGTATGATATTTCATTTGTTTATAATATATGATTTTCTAATCTTTTTTTTCTGTTCTTTTAGAAATTGAAAAAAGAACTAGCTATAGCAGGATTGTTACATTTTGAAAATGGTGCTGTTGAAAGTTGGAATCCTGATTTGGGGATAGAGGAACAAGCAGAACTATTACCTTATGACAAACGATGGGAGTTTCCAAGAGAAAAATTAAAACTAGGTCAATAATATAAATACATTTATAATTAAGTATTTCACTATTGTAAAGGCTTTTTGTTTTAATTTATACTTGAATACTGATTAACTATCAAGAAAAACTCGGGCCTTTATAATTAGGCTTGATTGGTAAAATATGGAGATTGATATTACTTGCTGATAAAACAAACTACTAAAATTTAAAGATCTTTAATGATTTATTTTTAATAATGATTTTGTTTTAATCATTCCATTATATTTACAATATCCAAAATAATTGTTGATAAAAAATAACCATTATAATAATATGTAGATTATTTATATACAGGATTTTTAGTAAGTAAGGAAACAAGTTAATTGTTAGAAAAAATGAGAGCAATAGAAACCCGTTTTCTTATTTACTAAACACTATATAATTGATAAAAACTATGTATAATTTAAATAGATACATTTATTCACTAAATGTTATTACCATAGGTATATACTACAGAAGTAGGCTGATAAGTAATAATTTTTTTCTTTTATTCATTTCTTAAAAGTTTATAATATTAATATTTCTATAATAATTTTTAGTTTTTGTTATTATTATGTTTTTGAAATTTTTTTATCCTATTATTCATTATTTTTAATTAAAAATAAATCAATAAATACATATTTTCTTCTTAATTTACATTTTTTTAAATTATATTTGAATGTTGTAAAATTCTGCATTGTAGTATTGTTTTACTATAAATAAATTAAAAATAACTAATATATAAACCAATTATCATGTTATTCTCGTTGACAATAAAAAAAAAATATGATCAACAAATTGCTTATTGATATTAAAGATATCATAATATTTCAATAAAATATCAATATAGAAAAAACGTTTAATATTAAAATTATATCATATTCAATAATTGTGCTTTATCATGACTAGAATTAATTCCAAACTATATTTTTAAATAAATATATTCTTATAAGTCAAATACAATAACTGGTTGTTTGACTAACTTATTGGCTGATAAAAATATAAGACCTTGATATTTTTATCCAACCCATTATGTTTAGTTAACTATGTACTTAATAAACTTAATAAGAATTTAATTGAAAATGCATTAATATATTTAACACAATAATTAGAAATAAACAATTTTATTTTTACTATAGGTAAACAATTAGGATCTGGTGCATTTGGAATTGTATATAAAGCTGAAGCAATTGGCATAATTGATGATAAAACAAGTACTACAGTTGCTGTAAAAATGGTTAAACCAAATACTGATCCATCTTATGTGAAAGCATTGGCCTCTGAACTAAAAATTATGATTCATTTAGGTAGACATTTAAACGTAGTTAACTTACTTGGTGCTTATACAGGAAATATAAATAAAAGTAATTATTTTAAATTTAATTAATATTATTAAAACTGTATTATTAAAATCACTAATTTTCAGGGGAATTAATGGTAATAGTTGAATATTGTCGTTTTGGAAATATACATGATTATTTGCTAAAACAAAGAGATTGTTTTGTAAATCAAATAACATTAGATGGTTACTTAGATTTTAGTATTAAAAATATATCCAAGTAATAAAAATTAAATATTTCATAGATAACTGAGTCTAATATATTAAATTCTTCTATTTTTAGAAATCCATATTATGTTAATGTTCCATCAAAGAATAATTCTCATGGAAAAGTTGATGATAGCAGTACACAAATTGGTTCTGATGGTTATTTAGTTCCCGATGAGGTTGAACCTGAATGGCGTTCCAATTACCGAGGAGATTACAAAAATCTTAATGTAAAGCCCATTTGTACTCATGATCTGATATGTTGGTCATTTCAAATTTCTAGAGGCATGGACTACCTTGCTAGTAGAAAAGTATTTAAACATGTTTTTGTCAATTAATAATTTATTAAAATATTTATAACAAAAAGTTATAAAAACTGTATAAAGCTTAATTTTTTATAAATAAATAAATTAAAAACGTAAATTATGAAAAGTTAATTTTTTGTAGATTCTTCATGGTGATTTAGCTACCAGAAATGTTCTATTAGCTGAAGATAATATTGTAAAAATTTGTGATTTTGGATTTGCAAAGACAATGTACAATAGTGAAAATTACAAAAAAAAATCTGCCAAAGTATGAATCTATATATTATTTAAACTTCAATAAGTCTTTGTTAAATAAACAATTAATTTAAATATATATACAAATATTAATTACAATAATAATATAGTATTATCATGTTTTAATAGAGAATTTTAACTAACTATTTTTCTAAAAGTTTACTCAATATTGTTATACAACAATATAAAAGTAAAACTCTGCAGCTTAATATTAAATTTTACTTATCAGTATTTTAAACTATATTAGTACAATAATTTTTTTAATTAAATATTTCCTGAGAGGAATACTAGTACAATTTAACAGTACACCATTATTAATATGTCTATCATTTAATATCAATATAGGTTAATTAAAACCAAATAATCTTTATTCATAATTTATTTCCAACAAATAAAATCATATGTTTTTCAGTTTAACTAATTCTAGAAATTAAAACGAATTTTCGTTGTATTTGCTTCTCTTGGAAAATTGAAAAAATGAACTGGGATTGTTATGCTTCTTAAGTACAAAAATATTTTTGTAATTTTAAATAAATATTAAATATTTTTATTGAAAAAACTCTTGATAAAAAAAAAAATATTGTATTAATTTAAATCCTTTATTTATTTTTATAAAATATACCATAATATATAGTTTATTTATTTGTATGACATTGCATTAAATGTTATCACTAAAAACTAAAAAAATTTTATTAGGTAAACAATTTAATTATTATTATAACTAACATGTTTAAACATTTAAGATTTTAACAGAATTTGGTATTTCATTAAAAATTATGTTAACTTAAATAACAAAATTCAGATAGTTAAACCAGGTTACTGCCTCTGGCATTACTTTGATGAAGATTTCCACCATCATATCTCCTTATTTGATAATCTAAGATTATTTGTTGCATCAAAATTGCACTCTGGTCTCTCTAAACCTCCATTTGTACATAAGTTTGTTACAAATTCGATGTCTTGTGTGTATCTTATCTTAGTTGAATCTTATCTATGCCTCTTAGGTAGGTCCATATCTACGTTTGTCGGTTTATGTTTGTCATATAGGAAAACCAGTGAATGATTGTGTTAAAGACTGTGTCTAATATTATGCATATAGCTTATCTATGCTGAATATCTACCACCTCAGTATGAATATTTTCTTCCCACACTTATTAATTTTCCTATAATATCAATTTTAGTTTTAAAGTTTTGCTACTATTTAATGCAAGTGTGCCTTATAAGTTAATGTCTAGTTCAATATCACACCAAGAATACACTGGTTACTGCATTTATAATTTTTTTGCCACAAAAGTAAACTGATATGTCCTTATTAACTTCCCTGCTCTTTAGACAATATATGAATTTAGACAATTTAGTCTTTGGCTTGATTAAACCACAAAAAAAAAAAGCTATGAACTATAACTATGAATATATATGAATTCTGAAATTATCAGCTCCTTAACCTATATTCCAACTATCTAGGGTTGGACTTATCTCACAAAGATTTGACAGGATTATTACACCAACTAACGACCTAATGCAACCTCATTACGGCTGTGGGAATCAATAAGGGGTGGGTCACCTATCCGGGAACTAATAGCAAACAGTAAAGCTGAACATCAGCTCTAAAACGGCTATTGAATGATCCACTGCGCATATACATATAATATACATATATTATTATGTATATTTAATCAATAATGTTAATAAGAAATGCATTTGAAAGTTAAAAAATTTATTAATTCATTTTCTTCATTCAGGATTTATTACCAGTTAAGTGGATGGCTATTGAATCCCTTCGGGATAGAGTTTTTTCCACACAATCTGATGTTTGGGCTTTTGGTATTGTTCTGTGGGAAATTTTTTCTCTAGCAGTTACACCTTACCCTAGTAAGTTATCATTAAATTATTACTTATTTTTATAAATAATTTTTTTAATTTCTATTAAAATTTTAATTTTTTAATAGAAATTCAACAATTTGAAGTACTTTTCAATAAATTAGTGGAAGGATACCGTATGGAACAACCAGAATATGCTAACTCAGACATGTAATAGATTGAATTTTTTTTTATAAAATTTATAAGAAATAATAAAATAAAGAAATAAATGAAATAAAGAAATTAATTATTAATGGAAAAGTGAAACAGATCTAATTGACAACTCTTAAATTTTGACGCAATCAACATTTTCTTGTTATTATTTTATTAAAAATAATTTATGCCTTCAAATTTAATTTTAATAATAAAAATAATGAAATATGTTTTTAAATTTAAAATTCTTTAATATTTCAAAATAGTCAATTTTTAGTACTTTTTTGCAACAACGATTAATGGGTCCATAACATTTGTAGAATAAGTAATTATAATTTAATAATTATTAAATTACAAGCATTTTATTACATAAAGTGGGTATGTAGCGCAGGTGGGTACATCTAGTACTAATGTATATTTATAATGTATATTCCACCCATGTTATATATCTACTCTATATATTAAACTGCTTGTAACTTAATATCTACTCATTCTAAAATTGTTATTGACCTGTTAATTGTTGTTGCAAAAAAGTGCATAAAAGTAAATTATTTATTAAAATATATTTTAAAAAGTTTTATAAATCTAATAAACAAAAATTACTAATTTTCTTAATTCTTTACTATTACCTATCTCATTCGGTAATGTATTTTGCCTTGGTGTATAGGTATTAGGATTTTATTAAGGTATATTGGTTTTATGTAATATTCTGGCACAAGCAATAACTTTTATCAAGGATGTTAAATAAAAATTAATAAAATAAACTGCCTATGATTTTTTTTTCTACATTAATTTTAAATTATTAGAGTGACTTAATTAATGAGTTTGATATTTTTTATGTTTCGGTAATAATATATAATATTTTAAATATTTATGTTAAACATTTTTTTAATATTTTAGTTACAATATTATGTTGGATTGTTGGAAAATGAATCCCTTAGCTAGACCGTCATTTAATAACTTAGCTCAAAGACTTGGTGATTTACTTGAAGATAGTACAAAATCTGTTAGTACTAAATCTAAATTTAAATAAAATTGTTAATATTTTATTTTATATCAAATCTATTTTTAATATTTTTAGCATTATATGAATTTAAATGAAGTTTACTTAAGGATGAATACTGAAGGCGCCCCATCAACTGACTATTTGAGTATGCTTACTGCACCTACATATTTAAACTATACACCTGTATCTGAAAATAATTCTCAAAATGTATCGGACCACTCTGAAACTAAAGATGATTTTGAATTGAAACCTATGCTTGAAAATCCAGGTTAGTAATTTAAGAATTTTTGATAAAAAAATGTATTGTGTTGTTGATTAACATAAAGTATTACTAATATTTTAACATTGGTGTTTTGGTATTTTTCTTTATTTAACTGTTTTAAATAATTTTTAGTAGAGTGTTCGGGGTATGTTAACATAACAAAGCCTACATCTTTTTCTAACCCGCATTATATTGTTGTGGACAAGTCTGACAAACGACCATATTTACAATCATCACATCCAAGGTATATTAATGCTGGTTCTTGCTGCTAGAATATTTTAATTTTTTATTTATTTTCCTATCTTGAATAGTTTCTAAATAAATTATGTAGTGGTTATTATTTTTCAATATATAATTGTTTTAAAAATAAAAGAAAATTTATCTTTAAAAAAAAAAAGATTCTTGAAGATTATACCAATTAAAATCTTATTAATTTAAAAATTATTTTTCAAGAACTCAATTTTTGAAATAAAATTTGTTTCCAAATTTTTATAAGAGTTATATAAGTTTAATACACTTTCATATTTATAAATGTCCTCCAGGATTAACAATTTAATTGTTGTATTTAAATTTGTACTAATTTCAACCATGCTAGGTCCCAAATTTATGGATTTTCTAATTAATATTACCTATTGGTACTTATTTAAATGTAGTAAAATATGAATGTTGTTTATAAAATTAAAAAATTCTAATACTTTCAAACCTTTATATATTTATTTCGTTAAATAAAATTTAAAAAATGAAGATATTATTCCTTTTGTTTCTAATTATTCCTATTGATAAACCTACAATTTTATAATCAGTTTGAACATCATTAATTAAAATATTATACAATGTTTATGCTATAGATAACTGAAAATATTTTGTTTAAATTATGGCTATAAACAATATTATCTTTATGAACCTATTTAAACCACCTGAATTATCCATAAAATTACTAATGTTACTAAATATTATAAACAAATATTTAAAAGTTTCATTTTATATATTTGTATATATATATAAGAATTTTATGATACATGATTCTTTCTCAAAAATAATTGTTAATATTTGATAGCATCTTCTAAGTTATTGAATCAATAGTATCAACCAAATTTTTTATAGATGATATTAGTAGTGTTAATTTCTAATCAAACATTAATTTTAATTACTGATCAAAATAGCTTAGCGTGTGACAATTTAAGAATGCTTTAATTTTGTTTGACCTTCTAAAGCTTATTACAAAAATTTTTAATGCTTAAATTTAATTATATTTTATATAATTTAGCCTTGTTTAATTCATTAAGAAAAGTCTGATGGGAACATCTACGAATATATTGTGTTTGGATTCAGTGTAAAAACAAAATTAAGTAACATTGTAGTAAAAAATCTACATTTGTTATGAAGTATTAGTGTATACATTTAAAACAATTGATTATAATACTGGTTAAAACTAGTCATTGAGTAATAGGTAATGGTTAATGTTTAGTATTATTAAATAATAATTTATTTAAAAACCTAATAATTACATTTGAATTAGAGTATTATAATGTCAATAAACTCTTAAAAAGTACTTGGACTGTTACTCAAAATTTCATTTTTTATATTTGATCAATCTCATATTGTATAAATTAATTGTTATTTTTCTAAGAATAATTATTTAAGGGATAATAACTCATTCCATCCATAATTATAGAAACTTTATTATAAGTTATTATTTTTCTGATCACAATGACTTAATTATATTTAACTGACATCAAATTTATTGATTTGTACTGATATTTTAAATATAAATGTTATTATTATATTATTGTAGAATGTTTTAGATCACTATGTTAGTTTTATAAAACTATAAAAAGTTTTAGCTATTTATATTTGTTTTGTTTTTACAATTTATTTTAAATATAATCGTTATTAAATATGTGAAAAAATCACATGATGTACTATAGTGTTCAATTTAAATATTATGTATACATTTTTTTACCATCTTAAGAAGATTTTTAAAATCAAAAAAGCATTTTTGTATTATGTTAGTGATATATTAAAAATAGAAATATTCATTCAATTAAATTTGACTCCTATTATTTATAATTCCTACTTTGAATTAAAATGTAAATTAGAACAAAATTTATTCATTTCTAGTATACTTAAATTATTTTAATTTATTATTGTACAGTATTGCATTCCTATTGTAAAGCGTAATAAATATTGTGATTTAAGTAAAAATTAAAATTTGTATATTTATATGTTAATTTAAATTTATTGTTGTATTATATAATAATTATTTTATTATAATTTTGTTTTTTATAATTTTAGTGTATTTACCATTTACCTTTTAGAAATTTACTTTATTGTTTAATGGCAAGAACATTAACAAGTACAGTATAGATTCAACATAGTGAACTTGAGGGATTTTTTTTATTAGTATTATATGATATCTGACATTGATTTAAATCAATACCTTAAAATACTGATGCATATTTTTAAAAAATTATTATATTTATCAAAAATATGATTTTTGACTAAAGAGGCCGATTACTTATAGAAGACAAATCGTTTGAAGATTTTTAGTCATATTATACATTAAACAAGCTTCAATTTAAAATAATATAAAATTATGAGAGTATTCCATTTCTATGCAAAAAAAACTACAAAATAGACCATTTATATTGAAAATAGTATGATTTGTAGCTTTAATGCTTAATAATTCCTAAAAATCGATATTTCATTTGATTTTTCTTTTTTTATCATAAAGTATAGTTTACATGGGTATAATTTGAACACAATTTTTAAGATATATAACTTAATATTTCTCCTCTTAAAAAATATTTTTATATAAAAGGACACGTAATTATTAAAATTTTTGAGAGACTATAGCAGAATTCTGTCAAATACCTATTATGTAACATCTTCCTTACTAGAATATTAATTAATATTATTAACTATTTTAATTAAGCCTAGAAATAAACAGACAATACATTTTACTTACCCTATCCACTAACCGTACAAAACCGCCCTATCTCCCTCAAATGTTTCTAATGTATAATCTTTTGATATATCCAAGGCCGTTTTTCGGCTTTGTTTTCGACGCAGCTGTCAAACCCAATATTTTAGGGTCTATTACGTCAGATGGTAATTACTATTTCCTAATAGATACATGACAATTTTAGCTTCGATGAGAAACTGAGAAGGTATTAATTTTACTATGTGTTTTTTTATGTGTGTCTGTTGCCACTTTGTCTCAGCTCTCAATGGACCGATTTCTTTCAATGACGTTAAAAACGTCAAAAAATCACAAATTATATCTAGTTGAAAACATTGCCCTTGAAAATTGAAAAAAATTTCCCTCGTTACCTGTAAATGGCGCAAATTCTCCCAAAAATTACGATTTTTAAAATCTGTAAATTTTGACATTTTTGTCTTAAAACTGCTATAACCTTTCGAAGAATGAACGAATCAACATTTTTTTTTTATATTGAAACCTTAGATATTTCTCTGTCATTTGATATCATTTTTTTGAAAATCTAACTCTTAACTTGCTCACAAAGGGGTTTTCAAAATAGCAACTTTTGAAAATGTTCCGTAAATACTGCATCCTTTAAACATATATTAAATTAAAGTTTATGTTACGTACTATAAATTAACAGAAAAAAATAATTGTACCAACGACTTATTTTCTATGTGCAAACGTCATACCGTAGTTAAATCACATGCTATTTTTGTGTTCAATTTTTTATTTTTTTTTATTTATTTTAAATAACTTTATAAGGGTTTGCCATAGTAATTAGTCCACTAATACATATAAAATATACATGAATCTAACTTACATTAAATATACATTTTTTATAAATTTGACCCTTTATCTGCCCACAGAGGGGGATTTAAAATGACTACCGAATGCTATTTTTGTGTGAAAATACTCGATTTTATTTTTTACATTTTACTTCACATTTAATCACTGTCAGATATCATCTATACTTGTCGCAATTATGCCATGACCTCACTGTGCTATCGTTTTAGCTTCGATGCGAAGCTGAGAAGGTATTGGTTTTACTAAAATGTGTTTATTTTTATTTTTTTTGTGTTTGTTACCACTTTCTCAGCTCTCACCGAACCGATTTCTTTCAATGATACGTCAAAAGATCTCAAATCGTATCTAGTCGAAGACATTACCCTTAAAAATTGAAAAAAATTCCCTCGTTAAAGCCGTAACTTTTTCAAAAATGAACATATCAATATAATTTTTTTTCATAGATGGTTGATGTCTTTACCTATCATTTGGCATATAATTTTTGTAAATTTAACACTTACCCAGCCCACAGGGGGGGATTTAAAATGACAACTTTTTCACAAAAAATTAACTTTTTCAACTTAACTTTTGAAAATGTTCCGGAAGGTCTGACACTTTTATATATATCTTAAATTAAAGCTAATGTAATGTACTTTAATTTGAAAAAAAAAAATTCCGGACTTTATCTTATCTTCATGGTGAAAATGTCTACCGAATGCTATTTTTGTGTGAAAATTTTCGATTTTATTATTTACATTTTTTACTTTAAAGTGCTATAACTTTTTAAAAAA